TTGTTTCATTTTCATTTGAGACCCTCAAGAAGTTATTAATTGTTCATGACCAGAGCATCAACTTCGAATGCTGGTAGAAATCTAAATCCCATGAAATGGTACTGTAGAATGATCAAAAAGTTGGAGATCAGACACTGGAACTAAAAAAACAGACTGTGAAACTCGTTTTTCAGAGACCTGTTGCGAGTCAAACTACGTGATCGTTTAACTGCTGGAATAAATATTCAGAATTCGGAGAGTCCAGTAGAAGGACAGAAAGCTCACTTAAGAAGATTAAAACATATAATGTCAATAGTGAGGTAGTGAACAAGCTTAATTTCCGTTTAGCAAAAACTATCTGTAACTTAAGAAGTTGTTCAGTCACAATACAAGGTCTACTATAAAAGGACTTGAGACCGTATATACCCTCTTCAAAATGTATGCTGGATGTAGACTGCACTATTATACTTTAATTGAATGAATTATCCTCCAACTTTTACCAATGAGATCTAACGTTCTTGGATTTGAGACCTCTCAAAAATCAAAAAAATTCTAAAGTGTGTGAATACAAATATACCCGTTATACAACCCGAAATTGCCAATGAATGTGCTGACCTTTTTTAATTCCCTCCTGTTACTCTCTTCAAGTGGTCACAAGCTAAGGATAAACTGTTCTTTGGCTGGAAAAAAACTATACTTCTACGCAAAGCGGGTGATATATTAGTAACTCTGAATTACCGACCACTATCTTTGCCTTCCGCAGTTGTTAGAAACATAGAAAGAATTATTAATGAGTCTTCTAAACTTTCTCTTTCGGTAATTCTTCGTTTGGACCTATGATACCGCTTCAAACTGACAGTTCCTGTAACACAAACTTGTTGACAAACTGGAGTAACTGGACCACCCAACGGGAACATAACCATCAGTTGCATAGACTTTGCCAAGTTCATTGTTGTATTTTATCTAATAAACTGAGTTCTATGGGTATAAGCCAGTGTTTAAGGATGTGACCAAAATTTCAGAAGTAGGAGAATACATATTACCACCATTAGATCCATTTTGAAGGTTTTGTGTGTGAAAATCCCTCCATATTTACACTTGTAATTGATTCCATCAGCTGTAAATTCTGTTGGCCTTTTTGATTCCATTTGAGGTGGTAATATTTATGTTTTGTTGTAGTTGTTGTTTTCTTTACATTTTCGCTGAGTTTCCATGTTTCTTCCTGAACTACATTTATGTTGTGTTAGCTGGCACTCAGTCTTGGCGGTAGCCGTATTAGTTTGTTCCTCTTTTGATTGTGTTGCTTGCTTTGGCTGGTATAGTACATTTTTGATTGTGAATTGAAGTACTCTTCCAGAATTGGAAACACTCTGTGTTACAACGCAACCAAATATTATCTTTCGAACGAATCTGTATGCGATCTATTCAGAACGGATAGAATAACATTTATTTGTTGTGTTTGATTTAATCTAAACTACCTAGACAGTTATTCTTCAATCCAAACCTTAATTTGGATTCTATAACCACAGTTTGGACAGCTTCGTCAGATTGGTCTTAGGTGGCATTAAAGTGCCACAATGCTCATTTCTTAGATCATTCAAGATTGTTCATCAGTTACCTGGCGAGCCCTCTAGGTTCTCAGTCTGTTCAGTATGATCTGAAGGGAAAGGATGAACCTAAAACATATCCTATTTCTCCAAGAACATCCACATAGGAGACAATACTAGACTACCAAAATACCCATATCTTCTCTACACTTATAAATGCAGAATATTGGTGGTAGACATCCACCACATACTTTCTGGGGACTTCAAATGTCATGCTTATGTGTAACCTTCCATTGACATTTTGCAAGTAATGAGAATTTACTGGCTCGAGATCTTACTCCATATGATAAAATAATTTTGACACCTACGAGAATATTCCATTACCATCGCATATAATGTTCACCTTAACTCACGTTATCGGAGTGGGGATTTATGGAGATGGTAGCATTTCCACAGACGAAATCAGGGTACATCTACGTTAAACCAACACTGATAACCTGGAGGCATTAGAAGGCCGTTTCTGACTAGTTCCGGACTACACAGCAGTGCGCACCCATGACGTTGCACTCTGAACTCGAACCCAGGACATTCGGATGCGCGCACAAACGCTTAATCTCTAGACCACCTCGCGATCACTTTGGTAAATGATAGGATAAAATGTTTCAAACGCGATAACGATTTCGAGAAGCGTATATTTCACACGTCCATAACCACAGACACATAATAAGATAAAATCGGTTTGATGAAGTATGGAAAAACAAGTTAGGGACTTGTAGTAAGTAGAGTAAGTTGTGTACTCATATATGATCACATGATAATGGTCAAAGTTACAAGGGAATAACTTTGGAGGCCAAAAAGAGCGTATAATGGCTTGGGAATAATAAACTAATTCGTCTGTAAAAAAGTAAGTAAGACAATACTAGTCGCTATAAATCATATTGTCTCCTAAAGATTATTTCCAGAGCAGTTGCAAAACTGACTCCAGAATTGCTCAGTACTGGTTTCAGTGTTTCTACCGCATACCATTAATATTAAACTCCCTTATTTTGTTCTTTTACCTTGATGACAACTGTAACGTAAAGAACACTTTGAAAATCCCTTCGCAGCATTTTATATCACACTATTGCTATTTATTTGTTTCTCCACCCTGTCTTGTATTTTAACCTCAAGGTCCTGTCACAGTTCAGTGTCATTGTTTAACTAAAAAGGTTGCTAGGATACTTGCAGGAAGATATCTGACCCAATCTCGTTGGGAATATATTTATTGGTTTTCAGGTATCCAACTATTGATTACTAACTATTCCTTTCGTTGTTCAGCACATTATTTTGTGGTTGTGAAACCCTTGACTGAAAAGCACAGGATGAACTGTTTGGGATAGTTTGTGCTTTTGATATAACATTTTCTTTTTCTCAGATTAGAATTCATTTAAACTGAACACAGAGTTTGTGTTTTAATATGATTTAATACGAATCACTCACAGAAGAACGTGGTGTGGCCGAATCAAATAGACTTTGGTTCGTTAGTTTTGCGTTCAAACCAAATATTGGTGTTATGGTCGTTATAATAATAACACTCTAGTAGATACTTGGGCCGAAAATAACACTGTACTCAGCTATCGTGAACGCTCTTAGTTTAGTCATCGCAGTGGGAGTGGATTAGGAAGAATATTATCAAGATGTTATTCGGGGCCCACTCGCGTTAGACGGGAAACGGTGTGAACAACTAGCTGAGGTCTAAGTCACACATCACAATTAATACCTAACGTGGATCAACCTCCCATCGTATCCTAGTACTAAGGCTCCTTTGATGACCGCAAAACACAAGGGACGTGCCCATGAATGTCTGCATGCCCTAAATGCGCTACAAGTTCAGGTACCTCCCTGAACAAAGATTTATGGTTACTGAATGCCATGGATAGAAAATACCCATCTCGAATTTCTACTTTCTATCTTTAAGCACGACAGTAAAGAACCCTACTAACTGCTGACACAGTAGTAGGTCAAACAGAAATCAGTCGTAATTAATTGGAATCAAAAGATTTCCTTCTTTAGGCGTCAGATTCAGACCTGTCTACTGTAACGGTAATAAAAATCATTACATGCGACATTAATAATGTGTGATTGTATTTCTCATTGCAGGGCAACAAAGAGTGAATGCACTGGAAGAAGAAGAACAAGCCCTACGCCGTCTGAACCTGCAGAATAACGAGTAAAACTATTTTGTAATAACTTTCCCCTTTTGTACTAAAAACCGCGTTTTTCAATTTCAAATATATCTGCTGCACCAGCATACCGTGTTCTCACTTCAGACGCACTTGTCTGTCCTGACTGTTGTGTTGCTGTTTCAGGTCGCTCCTGCTCCCAAGTAAACGTCGAAATACAACGTGCTACACTACATACTAAAAGCAAGGTTTGTTGACAAAGACTAATATATTTTTTAAAATAAGTCTATAAAAACAAATAAAGGTCCATCTAACTGGATAAGAGCATTCCCCTAGTTCACTGTGAGTAAATATTATCACATTCGGACAAGATTTCTCGATTTGCCAGTTTCATTTTTACGACACATAAGTGGGTATTAATTAGCTCGTTACGGTCGTTAACAACTGGACGCAAAAGTCAGCCAATTGATGATCGTTTGGCGCACGAACTTCCAAATTTCGTTCTCTGAAATCTAAGAAAAAAACTAATCCAATCAGTAATGTCCATTTCGAACTGCATTTTTGAATTCTTAGTTTGGCTAATTTGTATTATATCTCATTAAACGTAGTCAATATGAAGAAAAGCTGATAGTCTTAGTGATTGGACACACTCCTATCCCCAGTAAATTAACCACCATTTAAAACAAATAAAGTACTCAGTTATCTAGATTAGAAATACCTAAGCACTCCACGGAAGGTCATTGTTAGATATCCTCTGACTCTTTGAGAAATCTTAAAATCCTCTTGAAGTTAAATAATCAAGACAGTCAAAGCATCTCAGTGCCATATAATTTGTTACAACTTACTAAGACTTTCCCGCTAGCTTGAGTGATTCTTTGCACGCTTAGCCTACGTAACTATAACCTGTGAAGTATTTCGGGCGTTCCCTAGAACTGAGACACGTCGTGGATCGACTAGTGATCTTATTTCAGCAATCTGACGCATGCAATTAGGAGACTTATCTTAGAATAATGACAGTTTTTAAGAAGCCTCCATAACACCTTTATTATTCAATTTCAAAAGCCCAGAACCCTATACCACACAGTTCAGATTTGACTCATATCATACTAGTACACTAAATGATGGTTATTAGAAGTCGTGTTGTCAACAGTGATGGCCGTATGGAAGTGACAATAAAACAAAAGTGACAAGAGTGTACAGTAAACAGGTAAACGTTCCAACATGAAGCAGGGCAGTTCATTGTTGGAACCATCAACATTCACAACATGGACATGATACGATATTATAAAAAGGCAATGTTTCGGACGGTGGATTTGTTCTTTGACATCCGGAAAATTAAAATCTGTAGTACAATTAACTCACCACATTCCTCCATATTGAAAAACAATTAACAATTAGACCCAGCTCACGTGAGTCAAAATAGAAAATCCAAAGTTAGTAGAAAGAAGTGATCTCAAGTCGTTTCAAACTACTGCAACTCGAACGAAACTACATGCTCAATAAAGCAAAACGCCGAACGAAACATGGCATTCATATTCCCAGACACTAATGCAGGCAATGCTCACATTCCTCTATTAGCTCACAGAGCTGATTTGTTGCCAGGGTAAATTGTTGGAAGGATGTTATATCCTCCAAGTTCTTTAATCATAAATTGTTTTCGAGAAGCAGTAAGTGCTTGAGGCGCTATTGTTAACATTGTACGTTACTGTGTGACGTTAGTAGGTGTTCACTTCTGTTTGTTCCATTGGTAAGATCTTTTCACTACTTTGTTTCTGTAAGTCTTACTTATAGTAGTTTCTTAGCTTTTTTCATGACACCTCTATCCCATCTACTTCCTACACTCGATTTTTCTGTTCTCCATAGATCCGTTATTATTAGTTCGAAATTGTTCACAACTGCTCTCAGTTGATTGTTCTTTTTCTTAAGACAGTTAGTAGGTTCTCTACATATTGTTTATAACTTTACCTGCTTTGCTCCTGAGTTACTTTTCGTTAAGTTACCGATCTTAAGAAAACGTCAAGTTCATAACCTGATTAGGATTAGACGTGGTCAGATACATAAACATAAAATATTTCACCGGGAGTTTGTGATCTAATCTAAATTTTCCCAGAATTTAACTATGGGATATAAGAACCTTTTTCAACTGTTGGACTATTATTTGCTCCTTATTAAGGACCATATTTGAAAGTAAGCTTGTTGTTCACTTTGTAAAGGATAAGTATCTTTTCTGTAATTTTAGTTTTTAGCAAACGTACAAATGTAACGGTTATAAGTAGTTTAGCTAGACAATCTACATAATACATTAAGTGTTTGGTCTAGTTAATTTACGTATAAACTCCGGTCACACTTAAGTTGGACTCGTTTATTCAAGGTCTCATGTCGATTCCTGTTTTACTTTAAATTTTGGCTGCTAACTATCCCATTAGGATAACATAAGTAGAAAACTTGCTTACAAAGTTACATCATATGTTGTGTTTCTTTCTGCCCAGGTATCTACAGTCAGGCTCAAATTGTTTTAAAAGTCGTTCGAAAAATTAAAACCGTAATTTTCACATTTCTAACGAAAGGGTGAGATATCGTGCAAGTAAAAATGTATTAGTCTCTCAAAGTGATTCCGGCCTCACAGGTTCTCCATGATTTATTGTATAAAAGTAGTTGTCATTGGCAGTTGAATATCACTAATCTTACTTTTTTAATCAGCAACAGATTGAAACACCTTAAGTGGCTTAGCATAATCGTTTTTATTTTATTTAAATGCATAAATATTGGTACAAAGAAGCAACAGATACATATGCACCGCACAAATCTCATTTGATTTGTGTGAGGGCTGTAATGCTATCCAGGTGACCAAACTGAAGCAGGTGGTTTTCTTAGGGGACCACACCCAGAGCCTTTGACCTAAAGGTCTGATCTACAAGGCAGTGGAGCACCGTGAAGAGATACAGTCCCATGGTAGCCGGTGACCAACGACTGGTTTATGCACCTTTTGTTCCTTCAGGGTACTGGAGTCCATGTGCACCATTAGTTTGGAATGAGTGTTTTCCAACTCATCTAGGTGGACTTTCCGTGTCTACCAACCCGGTTAAAGCGCCAGACATTCGCTTTTCGTCCTCTCAATTTCAGAAACAATACCCCCTTCACGAGAAGACAGTAAGTTAACAGTTTTCTGAGTGTTAGTATTCCGATTACCGATTAGTTTCTATCAGTTCAATCTACTAAAGAAATAACATACATTCCTGTTTTTTTTTGAAAAGTAATCAAATTGTTTATTTATTTTGTTGAATCCCTGATTCTTTGTTTTTAAATCCATAATGTATGCTATTTACTATTCATATCTCATAGAATTTAAATGACTTGGACTCGTTCTGAAGTGCAGTATGGAATATTACAAAAAATATGTTTACACGCTATTAAATACGGACCAATTCCAAAACATGTTGCTTTTATTATGGATGGAAATAGACGTTTTGCTGATAGTAAAATGTTAAAAAAATCTGATGGTCATTTACATGGTTTTACAAAACTCTCTGAGGTACATCGTTTTTTCTTCAAATTTAAACAATTATTGATATTCTTCTTCAGACTTTACAATGGTGTCGTGATATTGGCATTGAAGAAGTATCAATGTTTACTTTTAGTATAGACAATTTCAATAGATCTCATGAAGAAGTTTCATTTTTAATGAATTTAGCTGAAGAAAAATTGCAAGAGTTACTAGATAATAAGTAAGAAGTACCACTATCACTCTAATCCTAACTAATATATTACTTTCTTTTTAGAGATGAATTAAAAGCAGATGATATATGTATTCGTGTTATTGGAAATTTAGCATTATTACCAGCAAAAGTTCAAAGTTTGGCTGCACAATTAATGCTTGTTACTAGAAATCATTCAAAGTTAGTAAAAAGTTAGCGTCTTCACAGTTTTATTAAACATTAACTCACCTGGGCAGTATCACAGCTCTCACACAAATCGAATGAGATTTGTGCGGCGCATACTTATCTAGTGCTTCCTTGTACCAATATTTATGTGTTTAAATAAATAATAAACTGGACACTGGTTATCAAGATATATGATCATATTTTTGGATGAAGGGGACATTTATATGTTATTCAATATCTTCCGAGCATTGCTCGCTTTTAGCAAAACACAGAAATAAGCAATTCTGATATGATGTGTAGTGTACTTGGAAAAGATGAAGTATAGGTTAATAAAGCTGAATCTTCATCGACTACAGAGTGTGTAACATATGTCACTCTTATCTAACCATCACCTATTCTAATGTTCAATGCTAGCCGTCGTAATACGTTGGAGAGAAGCTGAAGTAAAGCAAACTATGCACATTGTTAATCTACAAAATCAGTAACTGTCAAACTAAGATGTGCTAATAGACTTAGATCAGTTGATTGGAGTCACTCGTTGAAGAGATGGAGGGACATGACTCATAATCAGTCGCATAAGCGTAAATGCATTCGTTTTCATCTTCTTCTAAATCTTGAGTCTCAATATTCTTTTGTACACCATTTCTTCTCGAACCGTATTCTCCAAACTTCAGTTTTTCTCATTATCATTAACAATAATAATTATTCCAACTTCCTTTCCATTCATCTTGTTTGTTATTTACTGAAGAAAATAAATATCAGTACAAAGGGGCACCAAAATAAATGTGCTTCACACAATAAGAAAACGAGATTTTGAAAAGATGGAAGAAGGTGAACATGGTAAAAAAAAACAGTAATAAGTAAATTTAGTGGGTGAGAGTGGTAAATAATATGAGAAGCAGTTCGAATGCGAGGAAGAACCAGATACATATGCGCCACACAAGTCTCATTTGGTTTGTTTGAGGGCTGTGGTACTTCTCAGGTGCTCAAACTGAAACAGGTGGTTTTCTAGGCGGGTCACACCCGGAGCCTTTGACCTGAATGTCTGATCCACAAGGCAGTGGAGCATCGTGAGGAGATACAGTCCCATGATAGCCGGTGACCACCGATTGATTCATACGCCATTTGTTCCCTGAGTATCCTGGAGTCCATGTGCACCATTTGTTTGGGATGAGGGTTTTCAAACTCTCCTAGGTAAACTCGCCGTGTCCACCAACCCGATTAAAGCGCCGGACATTCGCGAGAACTACCACCAGAAAGAATCCCTTCAGTCAAAGAAGTTCCTATCACTTGTGTATGAAAATTTCAAAAAAATTACAGCAATGTCACTAGCTAACGTCTCAAGCCACTGTTTCACTATTTCTAGGATCCCAACCAGGAAATAGGGAATAACCGACAAATGTCAGTTTTGTACAGTTTTCACAACACGACGCCATATCATAAACTGATCACCTCTAAACGTTTTCCAATCAGTCACAGTCTTGGTTAATTTCATCTCACTAAAGACAATTGGTGAACGGTTGCTCAGCTTCATGAAATGGTTGAAGTTAGACATAAACACCATCGGATGCCGGCCGGCTCAGTGGTCTATCGGTTAGGTCCTGGGTTCAACCTCGCGAGGCGAGGTCGTGGATGCGCACTGCTGAGGAGTCCCACAATAGGACAAAACGGCCTTCCAGTGCTTCCAGGTTTTTCATGGTGATCTAGCTTCAGTTTACCCTCGCTTTCAACTATGATAATTTTATTTTGCTGTGTTGATATATTACAGAGATTTCGATCTGATGCAGATTTGTGTCAGCTTCTACTTTGATAACTAATTGACTGTATTCACTGGTTGAATTTTTTTCCTAGTTGTTTCATTTTCATTTTCTTCTCAGATCAATATTAAACATATGTATGGCATATAATAGTCGAAATGACATTACGAATGCAATGGAAATTGTACGTTTAGGTGTGAAGGAAGGAAAAATTATACCTAGGTAGGTGATGAATTCGTTTCTCCCCTCCTCGTAAAGTTGAATCATCTAGATTTAATTGGATTACTGACTTCACTAATCGTTATCTTCCTCTTTCTCTCTCTTAGCACACTTCGGTTCTCATGGTGAATCCATTAACATACGTCTCTTTCATTGATATAGCTCCTCTCGATTTGCAGAACTAAAATGTTTGCGTAGTTTTCAAAGTATTTCCATTGAAATCACAAACCTATCAAAGTTAGACAACCATTGTAAGCCTGGAAGCACTGGATAACCGTTAGCACAATATCGTGGGTTAATTGAAGTTAGACTTACATATCACTGGATTCCGGCCCAGTGGAGGCTAAGCGTTCGCACTCGAGGCCTAAAGTCTTGAGGTTAATTTCCATTTGCAAAGGCATAGATGCAGAATGTTGAGGAGTCCCATAATGGGATGAAACAGCCGTCCATTGCTATCGGGTTTCTAGTGGTTGTCGATTTGTAATCGGTTTGTAATCTCAACGAAATTCAGCAATCTACACAACCCCATACTGATAATATTCCCAATCATTATTGAAGGAATCGATAGACGGATGGACAAACAAAATGGCTTTAAATACAATCTTGCACAAAAGTTCATCGGTTTGGTTGTTATTCACACATTGCAACGCTCCAGAATTCAAAAATAAATGTAGAGGCCTGTGCTCTAAAATTGTTTGTTGAAGAAGGATCTATCTGATATGTTTATCAACATCTTGACAACTCTCCACATAAATATCTCAGGTAGAGTAAGGGTATACTAATCTGGACATCTTTATCTCTATCGTATTGTTACCCTAGTATCGGATTTACAACGCGTCAGTGAGAGTAGTTATGCTGTATGTTTTTTAGATCTGATCGCTGTTAGCCGAGAATGTCCATTGAATCTCTCTATACTCAATCGTCGTTATCCCTGAAGGATTACCGCTTCCATTTTTGTGTTTCAGCAACAAAAATGTCTCAGAACTCTGAATCTGATCATTAAAAAAGGGCTAACTAGCATAATGATCTGCCCCTAAATGCGCCCTGGTACGGCCAATAGTGTGGAGAGTTCACTCTCCCTCTCGAAATGCTCTCATATTGCCACGCGTATATAGCCTCTGTCAAGGAAGTCCTACTCACTGCCTTCTCATGGCATTACTGTTGTTTACGAAATTGAGAGGATGAAAAGCGAATGTCCGGCGATTTAACCAGGTTAGTGGACACGGCGTGTCCACCTAGAGGAGTTGGAAAACCCTGATTGAGAACTTCCACATAGAAGTTTTCATTCATTGTTTGTTCTTTTAAAATAAATTCATGAAGAAAGTACTGACCTAGTTCATTTGTTTACAGATCCCTTACATCGTTTATTTGTCAAGAATTACTTTTAACTTAATTTCAACTATATTTTTATGCTGACTTTTAGTGATATTACACGAGAGTTATTATCAAAATGCTTATATACACGTTTATCAAAACCATTGGATTTATTAATTCGTACTTCTGGTGAAATACGTTTAAGTGATTTTTTAACTTGGCAAGTATCAGAAAATGATACAATTTATAAATTTATTAATAATTATTGGCCAGAATTTTCATGGTGGGATTTTCTCTCGTCTATTATACATTATCAAATGTCATATCTACAATTATCAGTAAGTAAAAATGTTGTTTTTTCGTACATATTTCTAAAGTGTATTTCATTCTTCTACTTGTCTAACGTTTAATGATGAATTACTACTTGACTTTTAACTCAAAGAACTCATTTTGTGTGTGCCCCTGAATGCTCCGGTACGACCGAGAGTGAGGAGGGACCGCCCCCTCTCTCGAAATGCTCTCATATGGCCACGCGTATATAGCCTCTGTCAGGGTAGTCCTACTCACTGCTTTCTCGTGGCGGGGGTGTTGTTTACGAACTTGAGAGAAGGAAAAGCGAATGCCCGGCGCTTTGACCGGGTTGGTGGACACGGAAAGTCCACCGAGGGGAGTTGGAAAACCCTCATCCCAAACCAGTGGTGCACATGGGCTCCAGTATCCTAAGGGAACAAATGGCGTATGAATCAATCGTTCGTCACCGGCTACCATGGGACTGCATCTCCTTAAGATGCTCCACTGCCTTGTGGATCAGACATCATGTCGAAGGCCCGGGATGTGGCCCCCTAAGAAAACCACCTGCTTCAGTTTGGGCACCTGGGCAGTATCATAGCCCTCACACAAATCGAATGAGATTTGTGTGGTGCATATGTGTCTGGTACCCCTTTGTACCAATATTTATGTGTTTAAATAAATAAATAAATAAACAACTTGGATATTTCAAGTCAGCACAGCAGAACTGTTTAGTTTAAGAAGAATGAATAATCAATCGTGGAAAGATAAAGATAACCGATCTCGAAACATATCACTTAAAGTCTCTAACTTACAAATTACAGTTATCTAGTTAACTATGACTAGAAAGTTTATAACCTATTGAAATGATAAAACTTCTAAAGTTACTGGGATATTACCCGGGTACCCAAACTGAAGCAGATGGTTTTCTTGGGGAGCCACACCCGCAGCCTTTGACTCAAGAGTTTAATCCACAAGGCAATGGAGCAACGTTAGGATATGCAGTTCCATGGTAGTCGGTGACCAACAGTAGGTTCATACGCTATTTGTTGCCTCACGGTCCTGGAGCCTAAGTACACCGTTGGTTTCAAATCAAGGTTTACTAACTCCCCTAGGTGGACCCAAATGTTTGGATAGTATCTTCTCTCAAGATACTTATACAAAATAGAACTCTTAAAAGCTTTTAGTTTCATGATTTACTGTTTATTAACTTAATTCTAAAATGAAAATTTTCAATAGTCATAATTTCAATTTCATATAGGATAGTGTTATATACTAATAGTTGAATTTTCTCACCTAGCAACAGCTTTGTAACTTTCACCCCCATGATAAAGGTAAAAAAAAATCATACAGTAATTATTTAATTAAGTAATCTGTTTTTAGAATGGGTGGTCTAGTGGGGAAGCGCTTGCGCGCGTAACTGATAGGTCCTGGATTTGAATCTCGCGAGGCGGGATCATGGATGCGAACTGCCACTGAGGAGTCCCACAATAGGACGAAACGGCCGTCAAGCAGTGCTTCCAGGTTTTCCATGATGGTCTAACTTCAATTGATTCATGATTTCAACTATATAATCTGTTTTTGTTTATTTTCTTTTTTTTATTATTTATCTAGCCATTAATTAATTTTAAACGAATGAATAACCATGATAATAATGGTTTAGTATTGAATATGATTAATTCTAAAGAAAATGAAGCACATAAACAACGTATTAATTCATTTTTAAATTATTTAGATCAAACATTTTGGCAAAATATGAATATTTTAGCTACTTAATTTCTTTTCCTATCTCTCCCTTACTCTCTCTCTCTCTATGTGTGTGTGTTACTTACTTACGCCTGTAACCCCTCGTGGAGAAGCAAAGGCTAACCACCAGCATTCTCCATCCAACTCTGTCCTGGGCAATCCTTTCCAGTTGTGATTCATCCTTTTTATATCTGTTTCTATTTCCCGATGTAATGTGTTCTTTGGCTTTCCTCTTTTCCGATTCCCTTCCAGATTCAAAGTTAGGGATTGCCTCGTGTCTCTATGTGTGTGTTTGTGTGTGTACAATTCTTTATAGTAGAACAAACTTATGATTTCACTTGATTATAAATGTACAAATCATTTTATACTTATTTACAATGTATGTATTTAAAAAAAAGAAGAAGCAATATCAGGATACAACTTTTCTTCTTATTGCTTTTTATCATCAAATGTGTTATGTAATCAAACAATTTAATTTTCAGAAGGGGCTTTTGTAGAGATTTAATATTTTCCTAGTTGAAAGCGTGAGTCAATTGAAGCTAGTCCACCAGGGGAAACCTGGAAGCACTGCTTTAAGGCCGTTTCATCTTATTGTGGGACTCCTCAGTGGTAGTGCGCATCCACGACCTCGCGAGATTGATTTTCATTGATTTAGGTACATAATGAAGTTTGTTGATAGCTGAGAAAGATTAGATTCTTTATACTCAATAATTTAATCATGAAGCTTTCATTATTTTTTTTAGACAACAGTTATTAATAATAAGACAAAAATTTAGAAAGAAGTAAACTGTTCGAATGTTTTCTTTATAAGCGATTAACTGTTAAGGATGTTAGTTCTCTAGAACTCACTTGGAAAAGATCGTAATTTTGTCTTGGAAATTCGAGTTTTATGTTTTCGCACCAAGAGATGCTTAGTTGACCTACAGCTTATATTTCGCACTCAGAAATAATCTTTGATTGTCATTGGTTGACGGATTTTATTAGTACGCTATTTTATGGCTCTCCTAAGGGGGTTTCTATCTTTGTATAAATAAGCTTGATTTGTGTGCTTAGTAACTTCGTATTTTCTGGATGATTGTAGAATATATTCTCTACATCCCATCAAGACTTGCTGATCTAGTTAGCAGGGTTGGGGACAACGGATTAGAATAGGCTAACGTGTGACTGTGTCTTTGACCTTCGTTCCATTTTCCGAGTAAGGTGAACTTGTAATAGCATCAAATATATCACTAACAGTTAATAAGTATCAATGTCTAATAACATATACAAATCAGGCACATATACAAATAGTCAAAATGAACACTAATGGAATTATCATTATTCGAATTTATTATAGAAGCGTTAATACAGAGAATGAAAGCTTCAATCTTACCAAAGAGTATGGAAAGAGAAGTGCACTGTGGAAGGTAGATTCTTCATGAGGGAAAAAAATTAACTACAAAATGCTTCCAATATAGTCAACCTCTTAGACAGCATGAAATCTACACTAACAAAAAAAATTAGCAGTCAGTAAGCATATAGACTCAATTGACTAACCACTTGGAAAAATTTTGAAGATGAGGAATCAGGTCGGAGAAGAAAACAATTCAGAAAGTATGGAGATAAGATATGATATTGACAATGACAACTGAAGAACATCTGGAACTCAATACAATTGTCAACCAAGATCAGAATTTTCAATACAAATGTCAAGACAGTTTTAATGTATGGGGCGGGGACGTGGAGAACTACGAAAGCCATTATCCGGAAGATACAAATGTTTATTAACAGTTGTCTACACAAGATACTTCGGATCCGTTGGCCAGATACCATCAGCAACAAGTTATTGTGGGAGACAACAAACCAGATTCCAGCAGAGGAAGTGGATAAGACATCACCCAACTGCGTCACAAAACAAGCCCTAACATGGAATCCTGAAGGTCAAAAGGGGAGAGGAAGACCAAAGAACACATTACTCCAAGAAATGGAGACAAATATGAGAAGAATGAACAAAAACTGGATAGAACTAGAAAGGAAGGCCCAGAATAGAATGGGTTGGAGAATGCTGGTCGGCGGCATATGCTCCATTGGGAGTAACGGGCGTAGGTAAGTAAGTAATGGACAATCATCGTCGTGTTTGTCTAGTTCTTAGCAGTTATTTGAATTCTTTTCAACCAAATTGTAATGTTGAATCACTAATCCAAGTGACTTAATATTATCTGCTTTATTTTAGTGTTTGCTGATGGTTAGTACTCATGTAAACTTATATATGGCCTTGTGATCTATCTCAGATAATCTGTAATTGTATCAACTAAATCTGACTTTATGCATATAGTATGTTGTTGAATACTTAACCAATAAGTTGTAGACTATGAGCATGTGATTATAGAGAACTATAGCTGATCATAAAATTACACAATACTAGGATTGGTTTTGTATTTGATTATACATTTTGAATGAACAATTAGTAACTCTTGGGTCATTGAGATCTCCAATTATGAACCACTATAAGCGTGATTTGTTCTGAAAATCTTATTGACAGTAACATAAAACTCCGATCCTTAACTGATTTCATCTGGACAACCATTAAAGGATATGGAGCGCTGGGCAATTGTTTCATCCTGATTTATGTAGCTCCTCAGCAGTGTACATCTATAGTTTGTCAGAAATAGAACCTAGGAAAAACTCGAAATACTTAATCTATCAATATCAACCAACAATTTTTCTACACAGAACCCAAGTAGCCAAATGACCATCTACATGTTTATGTACCTAGAAGTTGCAAGATAATCGACTAGCGGTACATTCTTGAATGGTATAACAATACAAACATAAAGTTCTAGGTTATACACACAATACAGCTGTTTTATTTCTTTACAACAGACCAAGACTGTTGGTGAATTCTCCCTGAAAATATTCAAGTAGCCAGGAAGTGTCAGCTGCCTATACACTTTTAACAGCGCTGCCTCAAGCTAAGTTGAATTACAGTTTATTTATTTAAACACATAAATATTGGTACGAGAAGGCACCAAAGAGATATGTGCTACATAAATTATTCTGTTTTTGTGAGATCTGGGAAACTGTCCAGGTGCCTAAAAACAAGCAATCGGTTTTCTTGGGGAGTCACACCCGCAACCTTTAACCAAAATGTCTAATCCACAAGGCAGTGGAGCAACATTAGGATATGCAGTTCCATGGTAGCCAATGACCAACAATAGGTTCATACGCCATTTGTTCCCTCACGCTCCTAGAGCCCCTGTACACAATTGGTTCGAAATCAGGGTTTTCTAACTCGCCTAGGTGAACCGTCTGTGTCCACTAACTCGGTTAAAGCACTGGACATTCGCTTTTTGTCATTTCAATTTTGTAAACAACAGTAATGCCATACGAAGGCAGTGAATAGGACTTCCTTGTTAGTGGCTGTCTACGCGTAGCTATGTGAGAGCATTTGGCGGCTAGTGAATTACAGACTCGAAATCGTAAAGCCATAGCTCATTGTTTTTTTGACAAATAAACATTCTGAACTAGTTCATGCTGGTTTGGTGATTCAAATGTACAATATGCTTATAACTTTTAAAAAATAACCACTTAAATATGCATATCATCATGGAGATAACAGAGTTATTAGGTATAGTAAAGATTTGAATGTGACCAACTTGGTCTCGTGTGCAGTTACGGGTATGAGGGCTAATATCACTTCCCGGCTGCCCACACCATAGAAGGGTATTTCTTGAGGGACCTGAAAAAGAAGTTGGTCTTAACGACCTGGGTGCGTGACCGCAGTGCACAAGGGACAACTGCTTGAGGACGGTCACGCACGGCCTTTTTGTGGAGGGTTTTGACGTGTTAGCTCCGTTCTTCAAAGGTCCTTACCGCCGGAGACGGAAATCCGTGGGATAAGGCGGTGTGCATTTTTAGGGTCGACCTTTTCTAACCCCACCCTTCCTTGTGGGAAGGCATCGTTGTTATGCTGGTTGTCTGAAGGAAACACCTTACTGCCATCAGAGACAACTGCATCTCTGTACTAATGTGGTATGGCAACTCGAACTGATGTACGAAGTTCTACGTTGTAACTGACTGACATATCATCATGGACTTTCTGCAGAATCAGATTAATTTGACTATCACTAGAATGTAGTTTATCTCAATTCACAATTGAGATTAGAATATTCGGTTGGTGGTACGATTTGCTTAAATACGATTTTAATGACTGATAAGATTATGAGCCGTTCTGGTAGAATATAAATCGTGGATTATCTAAGAAGTTAAGGATTACGTGGTTTTATTTACTTCAATGTTGTTGTGTTATAGTTATACCAAGATAGATTATTATTTTATTGTACATCAAAATGTGAGTGGAAAAACTGTTAGAAATAAGGTCTTATTTTAAGACAGAAGTTAATGATATTTAACTCTTCGAAACAGAGTAATAACAAGTAACACGGTATTCATAAGTTAATTTTAACATGTGAAACAGATTAAAATTGATTTGGTAAGCATCTATCCAAAAGGCTCAAACGACTGAACTTGAACTGCAAGGATATATATATATATATATGTAAAAGCCATGTGAAGTCCTAATATAAACTGTAATGTCCGTATTTTAATAAGACCTGTTAATGACGTGGTTCATCCCAAGAGAGATGGCTCAGAATAGAAGCCAGTGGCGGTAACTTTCTTCAAGTGAGAGGAACTTTAACGGAAATAATCATTTCTGATCGTGGATGCGCACTTCCAAGGACTCCCATATTAGGACGAAACGGCCGTCCAGTGCTTCTAGGTTTTTAATGATGGTTTAACATTTATCTATTCATGATAATAATTTAAACTCAACAATCTCCACAACTCTATACTGATCGTATTTTTTTTAACTGAACTGCTTTTCTCATTATTACTTTTTTCACTCATATACTAATTTCTATTCATTTTGTCTTACTCATCTTCCTTTCTCTATCTCTTCACAATATCATTCTTATTGTATGGCGAATATACATTTCGAAATGATAATCGCATGGACTCCAACCAAGAAGTCTACACCTATTCAAGTGTCAATGACTTCAGAGACCGCTGTCACTTCTTGGTTTGGCTCCATGAAGTCGCTGACAAGTGGACTGGGCCATGTTGGTAGGTGTAGACTACCTGGTTGGGATTCGCGAGATGACAGCAACCGATGGTTAGAGACCTTGAATGACATGGCTCAAAATCGTTTGCAATGGCGAAGATGCATCCACTCTTTGTGTTCTACTGAATTCTAATCTTCTGAATTCCTCATGTCTTTATCTTTTTCTCTTTCCAAATTTATTTCACTGTACTATACTCCTTCAATAATTTCTACAAACCCTAATCTTTTGGATTTCTGATTATACTCCTACTACTTCTACCACTATGGGATTTGAATCGACAACTTCATCTCTGTGCTAATGTGGTATGGCAACTCGAACTGATGTACGTACGAAGTTCTACGTTGTAACTGACTTGGTTTGGCTGCCCTTAGCTTTCTTCTAGTCTACTTTTATACCAGATAACATTTTCCGTATATTAAGCTGATGACAGTATTT